CTATAATACCTTTTGCTGGCAGGCGTCTGGCCTCATATTTCTTATTTTACATATGTGTTATTCTCTCCTCTAATTTATTTAATGTGCTTAGAACCAACTTGGATTTAACATTCTAAATAAACCTCTTTCCCATATTCCTAGGAGTGATGTGCTTAAAGACATGAGTGGTCTGTGTGGGAAGTGGAAAAGAATAGATATGTAAAGACTTCCTTATGTACTTAGCTGAGAGCTGAGGTTATCCCACCTACTAAAACAATAAGAACAATTAGTTTTCATCCTCTGAGAATTTCATGACCTTTCTCAAGATTTCTACAAATTCTGGGTTTATAGCCTTATTCATGTAGTTTCTCTCATTATTCTTTCTCAGTTTGGTGAATCTCACATGTCTCATTTCCTAAAGACTTTACCTTATCTGTTTGCCACCAACTTGGCTTAGAAAGTTCCCCTTATCTTTGATCACCTTAGTAAAATGATTCATGCAATTGTAGTGGTAGTTTTAATAGAGCTTAGACTCCTTTTTTGTGCCATATAGTAAAAATAGGAGATTTTCTTTTCTTCAATGTCATCTCTGTATTCTTCAATTGAGGAATTTCTCACTAGTTAAAATTTCTTCTCAGGAAATGCCCCAATGCAGTGGGATATGTTCTACATGAGTAGATCTCTCTCCACATACCTCCAATTACACTGCTAGAGGCAGCCTCTTTCATTCCCAAAAACTAATTTGTTAAGGTTATAAACAAAAGAGACAAATACAAAGTAAGGATACTACTTCCTTCCTTGAGGCAGGAACAGCTCAAAAGTTGTTTTTCTTAAAAAATAACAAACTTTCAGCTTATTATGATGTATTTTTATATGTAACTTATAAAGACATTGTATTTTCAATGAACACCAAGCATACATATATATCCTGAGTGAAAGGCAAATAGCAATCACCACAAAACTAAGGTATTTCTCCTGCTCAAATAATGGATTGCAGCTCTAACAAGGTTTGTGGTTTCTCCCGTTTGCACAGTTACCCTCACGTCCTTTCCCAGTATCCAGATATCTGTCTGAAGTCTATTGTTATTGTTTGTCATTTAATACTCAGGGAGAAGTCCTGCCTGTTGTTGCCAAATTCTATTTGGTAAGTTAACGCACGTACGGTAAGTCAGTGTCACTTTAGGTACTTGTTAAAAACACAGAATCTTATTGAATGACAATTTATGAGCTTTTAAAACAATTCTTGGTAAGTCTTTGAGAAATTTGTCTGAGAAAAAGCATGAAAGCTGTAGTGTAAATGTGTTCTTTTCTCATCTGTGTGTTAGATAGAAAAGGATTCTTTCCTTCTTGGACAAGCGCATTCTGTATCATGAGCTACCTGTTTCTAATGAAGAATGAGTTCATTTTGCTGTGTAGACATATATTTTGCTATTTTGTTTCTATGTTGGCCACAATAAACTTTTATTTTTTCTTGAGAATTATTTCAGTAGAGTTGTGCGTCATATACAGATTACCAAACAAATCACTTATACTGTAAAATTATCAATAGAGTTCCTTTTCAAATAAATACCCCGAGAGTACATATGAAGTATGTAGTTTAATTTGATGGCATTTTAAACCACAGGAGGAAATGAGACAGGAAGAAGTAACCTCTGCTGAAATATGGCTTGCAACCAGAAATACTGCTCAAAGCATTCCAAGCTAACGTTGGGTATAGCCTGGTGCATGGAATGGGGGCCTTCACTGTCTTCCATCTGTGCTGGAACCTCTGCCTCAGGGAGGCAAGCCTGTGGATCTTCAGAAGCATGGGAATTTAGTGCTGACATTGGTGAGAAAATCCCACTTACCCAGCCTGACAGCTACTGCCTGACTCTTCCACTGTGACAAGACTCACTTCCTATGCAAATCCTGACCCTGCTGAGAGTGTGAGCTCTGGCACACAGTCCAGGCTAAATTGGCACACCCTTTCTCCTGTCTGTTTGGGTGATTCACTGAGCATTCAAAGCACATTTTCCTTTTATTGGCTGCCAGCTATGGCTTTTTGCTCACTCATTCTCTTTTTAGAACAACTTGGCACTTCGATGCTAATGTAGTCGCTTAAACTAATGTTTACTTGTATACAGTCCTGCAGAAGAGTATCTACTAGATACCAATGAGCTGAGGTTAGGACCTGTCACATTTACTTAGACATCAAAGAGCATTATTTATTTCTACATGTTTCTACTAGCTCATTCCATTTGTGTCATGTTATGGTTTCCTGGGATATAGAAACCTCACAAACTGCAAATTCATGAAAATGCCAATGGTTAGCACAACTGTTTCCCCTTTCATCTGTGTGGTAAGATAAGAAACAAAAAATTTTTATATTTGGAAAAAGTCAATTTCCTCCGTTTTGAGTTATGCTCAGCACTTACAAGTAATTTGAAAATTGCAGTATATGGAGCTTGTATATGGAAATTGATTTCATGTAAGGTAATTAAGTTAGCAAGAAAGAAATCATGTTCATTAAGAGCAAGGCTATAGTTTTGAGCATCTTTCTTGTTTTCCTAGTGCAGGTTCAGTCTGATGCAGACTTAGAAAATTTGCTGAGTGAATGGGCAAACTCCCATGGAAAAGGTAAGGATGTTGAAGAAAAGATCTTATTGCAGGCCATATTAATTTTTGCATAGCCTTTGCACAACATCAAAAGAAGGCTTTACTTACCTTTGGCTAGGGAAAAATATGCAGTTAATCAGTCTGCAGTAACCAAATTTCATCTCATAGGTGAAATAGAATGAAGCGTTTGCGGGCATTGAGACACAGAAGAGAGTTTAGTCATTTTATGTGAATTTGAACATGAATGAATATCTTAATTTTTCAGTTATTATTAAGTATATGGAAAGGGCAGTAGTAGTTCACATACTGGCAGAGTTATTGAAGATAATTGAAATCAGAATGTTGAGGTGTTATTACTACCCTGATTTTCATTGCAACACTATTTAGAGTCACTAAGACATAAAAAACCCAAAAATCTATTAATTGCTTAATAAAAAATGTGGCTTATGCATATATAAAGTATTTTAAAAATGGAAGAATTGTGAAGATAATATGCAAAATGAAATTAGCCAGTCACTGAACAGCAAGTGCTGCATGATCTCTATTAAATGAAATATTTCAAATAGTCAAATTCATGGAATCAAAGAGTGAATAGCAATTATCAAGGCTTAGGGGTAGAGGAAAAATAGAAATTTTTAATCCATGATATACAGTTTTAGTAAACAAGACAAACCCAGAGACATGTTGTATAAGGTTTTGTCATTAGCAAAAGTATCAAAAGTACTGCATACTTTAAAAACACCAGTAAGATAGTAGATCTCATAAAAAAAGTATTCTTGCTGCAATAATATTTTCAAAAGTCTAATCTAAATAAATTAATGTCTTACCTCTTGGAAAGTTGACCACATGAATATTTTGTAGTGACAATATTGTTCCATCACTTTTTTCCCCCAAATATGAAACCACCATTCTTACTATCTTTTTTAAAGGTTGAATTTCAAGCTTATGTAACCGCACAAAAGTTTTAGCTGATTTGAGTGATTCCAAATCATTGTGACAACTTGGAACCATAAGCCATTTCCCTAGCCATTCAAAATAAATAAAGATGATCTATTGTCAATGGAACTGGAATTTAAGTTAAAAAATTGGCAGAATGTATCATTTTCATGTGTTTCCCATAGTTTTTGAGGGCTATTTAACACTGAGATATAAAAGAATAATCATTTTATCTCAATGGCATCTGTATCAGAAAAATGTTAAGAAATATGCTTACATTTTGTATACTCTCAACATGCTGAATGTTGACATATTTATAGCAAAAAACGTTTAACTATCTGGAAAAATCATATTTTATTTTCTAATTGAGATACCTCAAATAATATTGAGTATGTCTCACATAGCTCTAGACAAAAATCACATATTTTAACTAAGAATACACTTACCCACATATTCTTTGAAAGCAAACTTGGAGAAAATTTTCCTTATTAAAAATGAATATTTCCAATATAAATACTAATACAGAAGTCCTTGCCTAAATTATATTTCTTGGGAAACTCTATTTGACCTTCATTTTAAGGACACACAGCCACAAAGCTGTCTGGAATACCCCACCCTAAACAGTGGATGAATTTATTACATCCTGAGTAAAGAATATCCAAGTATTGGCTCACTACCTGATAGAAAAAGAAAATTACCCCAAGCCCTTTACAATATTAGATCCAAAGAAACTTGGAGCTCTGTGACCTAGCAGGATATTTCAGCTGTAAATAATAACTGATATGAAGAATTAGTTGCTATTGTAAGAAGGTGATGAGCTCTATTCCACAGTGAGTATAAACTCTGTTGAGATAATATTCTGACACAAGATAATTTGTTGTCCAAAATTACAGAGTCAAATGGTCAAGTTTTAGACCTTATCTTACTTATCTTACTTGACTACCTTGTGACATCTGACATTGTTGCCTGAACTCTCCTCTTTTGAAACATTTTTGGCTTCTGTGATCATTAGTCAGAGAGATTCTCCACTGTGCCTTGGAATAGCTTCTCTGTTTTTACTGATTCCTCAACAGTCAGTCTTCCTCTAATTTTGTTATGAGCTGTTTATATTAAATATTACACACACAGTCTTTTGGCAACATTATCCATTTATGACATCAACTACTAAACATAGACCAAAGAATTAAAAAAAAATCTTTAGTTTTGGAAGTGGAAGCTCATATTGCCAGCATTTTATTTTTTTTTTCAGATAATTTTCTGGTGCTTCAAATTTAATAGATGTACATTGGACTCATTCTCTGCCATGCTTCTCCCAGTGTTTCTGTTTCAATGACCAGCAACATCTAGTTGGCTGATTAGAAAACCTCGGTAGCATCCATGAGTCCTCTGCTTCCATTATTCCCCACAAATGAACAATTTCTAAGATGCTATGTTCACAGTCTAATGCCTTCTTGTGTTTACCTCTCTCTCTATTCATCTCTACAGTCTCAGATGAAGCACCTTTAGTTGTCTGCTGAGGACTGCCTGAGATCCCAGAGCCTGTCTCCACATCCTTTCGTGTAAAGTATTACAGAGTCTATCAGGTGATCATTTCTTATACCCGATTAAAGACTTTCAAACATTTCCCACCATCTTTGTATAATTCAAACTCCTAAAACTATCATTATACCATACCTTGGATGCTCATATTTTTTTTACTTTTTGTCTTTTTAAAATTTTATGTTATTGTACATATTTGCAATACATGGAGTTTACATTCATTTTAAGGACTAGCTACATGTACACAACACATCTTGCTTTTTTTAAATTCCTCTCTCTCTCTCTACCCTCCTTCTTTTCTATATCCTCTTTCCCCATTTTCATTGCCATTATTCATTATTTTGGTTTATGTTTGTGGCATATAATGCTTATATTCATTGTGGATATTTGGCATGTACACATGACACATCATAAATCCGCTTACTCCCACTCACCCTACCCCAGCCCTCCACATTGTAGATTCTTTCCCATTTGCAAAGGATCTGTCTCCTTATGTTTTATCAATCCTTCATTTTGCTCTTTATTTACACTTTGCTTTACTTGAATAAGAAATACCATAAAGTATTGAAGTTCATGTGTCTGATTGATTTTAAATAATATTTTACAGTCATATCAATGTCCCTACAAATGTCTCAAATTTATCCTGCTTTATGGCCAAGTACTTTTCCATTATCTATAGGTACCACATTTTCTTTATTTGACTGTTGATGGACATAGACTGCTTCCAGGATTTAAGTACTATGAATTGTGCAGCTATAAACACTGGTTTGAGTGTATTGCTTATTGATGTCTATAGCTCTTTTTGTAAAAAAATGTAATGGGGAATATCTGTGTCAAATTGAATTTCTATTTTTAGGTCTTTGAGAAATCGTAGTGATTTTCCGTAATGGTGTACTAGATCACATTCCCATGAACAATGTAGGAAGGTTCCTTTTTCACCACAGCCACACCAGCATTTATTATTAATTTATTGATTATTCTCACATAAGAAGAGATTGTAGTATTTTTTTAATTTATTGTTTTACTTTAATTTGTTTCATATGTTTACTGACTATTTGTATTTCTTCTTCTGAGAAGTGTTTATGCTTTTCACTTGCCCATTTTTAATTTGGTCTTTTTTAATCTTTCAAAAATCCTTTATATATTTTAAATATTAGTTGTCTAAGGAATATCTAGCAAAAGTTTTTTCTCATTCTGTAGGTTGTCTCTTTAGTCTGATGATTCTTTGTGGTGAAGAAGCTCTTTAATTTGGTATAATTCCATTTATTGGTTTCTGCTATTATTTCCTGTGCAGTTGGGATTCTGATCAGAAGACCCTTGCTTACACTTGACATCAAGTGTTTTACCTATGTTATCTTCCAGTAGGTTCATTGTTTCTGTTTTAACAGTTAGATCTTTGATCCATTTTGATTTTACTACATGATGAAAGACATTAGGTCCAGCTTTAATCTTCTATTATCCTAATTCATTTCTTACTGAATTCATTATTAGTATGCACAAATGTTCATTTATTTTTTGGTTGATCTTGTATCCTGTCACATTGCTGAAATGTTATTAGTTCTAAGAAGTTTTGATGGATTTTTTTGGACCTTCTATACAAAATATACCATCTGAGATAATGACAGTTTGACTTCTTCCTTTCTTTCTGTGTATCCCTTCTTTTTATTTCTCTTGCTTATTATTCTGGCTAATGTTTCAAGGATTTTGTTGAAGAGACATAGTTATAGTGGGCATCCTTGTCTTGTTCCTAATTTTAGAGAGAAACCTTTTAATTTTTCTCCACTTAATACGATATACACCATTGATTTCTTATAAACAGCTTTTCAGACTCAAGTAAAGTGCTTCGTGTATCTACTTCCTTTAGGGTTTTTTTCATGAAGGGATTTGGCTTTATTGAGAGCTTTTCTGCATCTATTGACATGATTACATGGTTTTTGTTCTTCCTTCTGCTTATCTGGTATATTTCATTTAATGATTTGTGTCTGTTGAACAATCCTGGCAGCCTTAGGATGAAACCTACTTGGTCATAATATACGATCGCTAGATGGTGTGTTGCATTCTCTTTGGCCATGTGTTATTGACAAGTTTTGTATCTATGTTGATTGAAAGGATATTGGCCAGTAGTTTTCTTTTTCAGTTGGACTTTGGTTTGGTTTTGTGATCAGAGTGATGCTGGCTTCCTGAAATGAAGTTAGAAGCACTCTTCCCATTTTAATTTCATTGAAGAATTTGTGGAGTATAGGAGATATAACACCCTTAGATGTTTTATAGAATGAATACAGGAAGTCCTGGGCATTGTTTTAGCTGGTAGATTTTTAAAATTACTGCTTAAATTTCATAGCTTATTATTGGATTGTCAGAAGTCTTACATCTTTTTGCTTTATTTTTGGTAATTTGTATGCCTGTAGGGTTGTATTTCTTTAAAATTTATCAATTTTTCAAATATGTTTTTCTCCTCTGTTGTGATTTTGCCTTTTATATTTCTAATTGCATTGATAAGTCTCTCTCTCTCTCTCTCTCTTTCTCTCTCTCTGTTGATAAGTTTGGCTTTAAAATTTTTTTTTTAGCAAATAACTTCAATTTGTTTATTCTTTTTATTGTGTTCTTAGTCTCAGTTTTATTAATTTTTGCTGTGATATTTATGGTTGCTCTCCTTAATTTTGGTTTGCACATGGATTGTTGGTCAACTTTCATATTTCTTGAGGTTATTTATTTGAGCTTGCTCTATTTTTCTAATGTGAGCATTGATTGTAATAAATATCTTTTTCTGGACTGCTTTCCTTATAGGTTTTGGCATATTGTATTGGAACTGTTATTTGCCTACAGAAAATTGTTTAAATTCTTTTCTTTATTTCTTCTGTGATCCAATGGGTGGTCAAGAGGGTGTTACTAAGTTTCCTGGTGTTTCTAAATTTTGTCACTTTTTTCTCTGCTTGATTTCTAGTTTCATTGCAATATGGTCTAAAAATAAACATGGAGTGATTTCATTATTTTATATTTGTGTAAGTAGACTTTGTGGACTAGTATTTGCTCCACTTTGGAGAAACTTCTGTGTGCTACAGAGCAGAATGATACTCTATTATAATAAGGTAGAAGTGGTCTTTTAAAATCTCTTCTGATCAGTTTTAAATTAAAGTTTACTTTTTATTTCAGAAAGTTGGTATCTGTTTGACTTCAGAGACCTAGTTCTTTCATTTGTAATTTATGAACATTTTCTCTGGCTAAATGGTTTTCTTGCATTGAACAGTGTCAGATTATGCTTTTGCCTACTCTCCTAATTGGTATTTTTGGGCCATTAAGAATTATTACTGAGGAATGTTGATTAGTTTCCATCATTTTGTTTTGTGATGACTCCTTTCTTTTTCTTTTACTTATTTATTATTATTATTATTATTTTGTTTATCTATTCATCTTCTTTGGTAAATTCATTCCTTCTGGATTTTTGGCTTTGTTGACTTCATTGTGAATGTCTAGGATATTTTTAAAAATGTTTTCTAGAGTCTTGGTTTGGCAGTCATAAATTCTCTGATTTGTTTTCTTTCATGGAATGTCTTTATTTCTCTATCTACTTTGAAAGACAATTTCCCTGGATATGTTAATCTGGGTTGAAAGTTGTTTTTATGGCTAATAATAATATAGTTCAAGTTTTTCTTGCCTTTAAAGTTTGTGTTGATAAGTCTGCTGTAGTCCCAATAGGCTTACCTTACGTTTGATTCTTTTGCATTTCTCTTACAGTTTTAAAATTCTGTTTTTTTGTTGGACATTTGGCATATTAATTATAATGTGTTGTGAAGGGCTTCTCATCATGGTTAGTGTTCTCTTAAGTCTCACTTACTTTTATGTTGAATTCTTTCCTCATTCTTGGGAAGTTCTCTATTGTAATTTCTGTAAATAAATATTCCTATTCCATGTGTGCTGTCTTCTATTTTCTAACTCAAACTAGTCTTAGGTCAGTCTTCTTAGTGTTGGCTAGTGGTTGTATGTCAAATTTTTCTTGTTCTCTTATTGTTCTGGAGACTTCTCTCAGGAATTTATTGTAATTTACCATTTCATCCTTGATTTCATAAACCCTGTCTTAACACTGGTCATTTTTGTAATTTATAAATTCTATATAACTTTTTATATCCAATATTTTTGTCTTTTAGACTTTTGTGGATTTTGTATCTTTGGCGAATTTGACATTCATGTTTTGAATTGTTTTGTTCAGGTCTTCCAATTTTTTATTTGTTTCTCTTACATTTATATGGGTCATTTTGTATGAGAATTCCATGAAATTTTAGGACATGGCCTCTTTGAATTTGCCAAGTTTCTTTATCTCTTTTTTCATCAATTCATAAAGCTCTGCTGCTTGGGATTTGCTTTCACCTCTATTGGTGCTTCCTAGTTCTGTCTTGGGCATTAGAAGAACATGGGGACTTTGTTTTACTATTTTCCTGTTTGCATGTATATGTTATAAGTATGTATATATGTTTCTATATGCATACATATTTGTGTGTGCCCATATGCACGCATACTGATAGTTGAGGTCAGAGTGAGTGTGAAGAGCTTTTAGATTCTTTTTTCTGCAGTTTGTTATCAATTATATTTGTCCAGAGATATTATTCACCCTTTCTGTTCTTTGATTAAAATAATTTGGATCCTACCACTGCATGGGAGGGAGTTACTATTGGTTATAATAGCTGTCAACAGATTAAATCAAACATCATAACTACAGTTCTTTATCTATAACTTTTCTAGATTGTACTATTTTATTACAGTTGGTTAGTCTACAGTGTGGAAGGAGTATAGAAGGGAAGAAACAAGACAGTGGGTTAAAACAGATAAGAAAAGTGGTAGCCAAACCAGACAAGTGGTAGACAGGAGACATAATAATAGCTAACAACAACAAAAAATAGATCAGATTCTGGTAGAGGTCTTTTAAGATTCAAATGAAAGGCTAATGGGGAGAATGTTAAGAAGATATTTGTGGGGACAGCAGGGGGATTTAGAGGAGAGAGTGTAATTAGGGATTAAAGGATGCTGCAAGGTGTCAGGACCTGTCCGTTTATTTGTGCACCTGTAATGTGGAGAAGAGGCAGGGAGGACATGAGGCTTGGTCAAATAAGGAGTAGGGAGGGGAGTAGGCTAGAGAGAACAAATGTGAATGTGAGATAAGATGAAACTAGCCCATGAGAGTGAGATGTAGGGGAAAAAGCCTTGAAAATAGGAAGTTGAAAAGTGAGAGAAACAAGTGTGCAATAAAAGTGTTGCTACAGACACAAAAGTTAAAGAAAAAGAGTAGGTAAGAAGACGAGAAAGAAAATAGAAATTCAGTCAAAGTAAAAAACAGAGGATGAACAATAAAAACTGCAACAACAATAAAAAAAGAAAAATCACTCCAAAGGGATCCATCTCCAGCACTCTACCAAGTGAACCCACAAGCAGTTTCTCAGGTCTGTTATGTCAGGAGGCCCACACAATCCTTTTCTTGTCTTAGCTGCAGTATCCTTGGAGGTGGCCATGCATGGACTCCAGGGACTTGCCCCTCACTCTGGTGACAGAGTGGACTCCACTCATAGGTGAGTGCATGTGCGTGTTACTCAGCAGGTAAGCAAGCTTGCTTGCGCTGGTAGACTTGACAAACGTGCCTGTGACTTAGCAGGGTGGCTGCTAGATGGCTGTGCATGTGAGCTGGTGACTCAGCATTTGGCTGCATGAGCTGAGTTAGCACCAAGTAGAGTCAGTTAAGATGATGTTCACCTGTTTATCCTTTTTCTGGTCAGAGTTTGGGTAGAGATTCCCACGGTAAGTGCTGGAGAATGCAGCTTTTTGGGTGCCTGTGTTGGAAGTGGGCCGTCTGGTCCCAGCAGTGCTAGGTAGTCCCTCAGGCTACCCACAGTTGCAGGGTAAGGTGGAAGGGTGGGCCAGCAGCAGCAGTGCTGCTTCCCCTTCTCCACTGTCCTTTATTTGGTTTGATATCTATTATCCCTTGCTTTCTCTTTCTCTCTCTCCCTCCATCGCCATCTCCATCATCTCTATATGTATCTCATCTATCTCTATTTGTATGTATTATTTTTCCTATTAATTTTCTGTTTCAGGATGAAAGCCTCTCCCCATACTGCAACATACATTTTTTCCCAGTAAATCTTCTCTGAGCTTCTCTGATGTGACACCCCCTCTTGTCAACTATGTTGAAATGATTTCTTTTTCTTCCTTCCTTCCCTCTTTCTTTCTCTTTCTTTCTTTCTTTCTTTCTTTCTTTCTTTCTTTCTTTCTTTCTTTCTTTCTTTCTTTCTTTCTTTCTTCCTTTTTCTTTTTTCCTTCCTTCCTCGCTTTCTATCTAAGCTTGAGTTTCATCTTTGGCCATATTTTTGCTTGTTCTCTACCCTACATTGAAATGACAAAGGTACTAAATGCTCCATTTTCTATTTCTTTTCTGAGTTTTTCATATGTTCTTATTTATTTGCTCCACCAGCTGCAAGAGCTTTTCATTTGGAAAGACTTCTTTGATCTTCTTTTCAAATCTAGATCTGAATTTAATCTAGATTGCTTATTACTCCTTATTACCATATTATTGCTACAGTAACTGATGCATTTATTTTTTATGGATGGAAGGAAGGAAGGATATGTTAATTTCTGTCACTCTAAGATCTATTTCTTTAACCACTGGAAGGAATTGTTCCCTAATGTGTTCCCTAGATCTTGGTACCTGATAGTCAATTAATAGATATGTTTTGGAACTAACTACTCAATTGTTCAATTACAACTGTAGGAAAATTCAGTGGCTCAAAGATGATGCTTTATTTTAGAGTCACTAAACACTGGATGAGTCACTTGGAACAGCTTTCAATTGCTGGTATATGCTCAGTTCATATCCCAGATAGGAGAATAATAGAGAGGTCTTATACAATTGAACTGAGATAAAAGTAGCTACACACTGGGGGCTCTCAAGTCAACAGCAAGCACATCAGGAATTTTCTCCGTGTCTCTCCAAGGGAGGAGAGAGATTTTTCATTGCTTTTTAGAGGCATTAGGTGCCCTGTGTTCTCTGAAGCCAAGCAAATACTTGACCCCACATTCGTAATTTTTGAAAACTCTTGTGGAATTCATAACATTAGACATAATGCTCCACAAATTTGTGAGAATCAAATCAAGATTTTCGGTGGCTACAGACTGCCAAGAGGACTTGCTATTTCCATAGATTTTTTCTTTCACATGAACTTTGGGATTAGTTGTTTGTAGTTTTGCCAGGAGCAAACTATTAGACTGTGAAGTGTTGGGAGCAAACCACTGTGAACTTGCTGACCAGTCTCCATCCTGGTGCTATTGCGTGAGAAATGGAACCAGTCAAATGTGTAGCAGAGCTGGACTCTCAAATTCTACAGGACTTTTTAGAAGGTTTAAAGTGATGTTCATCCAAAATTAAGCTACAAAGGAAAGATGAGTAAGTGAAGAGCTAAAAACCACATATTTTGTGAATTAGATTTTGTGTAAGGTTTAAATATGTGAAAACATTTTGAATAATCTGGTATGAATTATGGTTTTGTTATTAAATAGCCATTTTTTAATCCTTCTGTGTAAAGTAAAAGATTTGCTTTGCTGCATTTTTTAAAAAAATTTGGAAAATATTAAAATTTGAGGGAGGCTAATCTTTTTAGCCAAATTGAAAAATTGCTCAGAATTTAAGGATACTCCATCTGAGTTCAAGCTGTGTTTCAGTTTGACAGCACTTTTTGGTTATAAACAGGATGTTTGAGACTTGCGATTTAGCAGGCCTCAAATAAGCTTGTATATACATTATAAGTGAAATGTAGAGGAAATTAGTTGAGAACAAAACTTATCTGAAAATAAAATGAACAAGGATTTTGAAAGATAGATATTAACTACTTTCAGTTAAGAGCTTTATTTTTGAGCTATGATTTGATTATCAATATTTGCTTTTTTTTCAAATTTGGAAAGTGACTGGATTTTCTCAGCCTTGCTGTTTATTCCATATTCCTGTTTTTAAGTAGAAGAAAAAAATAATTTGGCTATTTTCAAGAAATAAAACAACTGTCTGTAAATTGCATGCCATAACTTTTAACACATTATCCCATTAAATTTTTACAATTTCTCTGCACAATAGTATAATTTTCTTTACAAATGGGAGCAATGGAATTCAGATACGTGAGAAGATTAGTATAAGGGTAAGCAGCTAGTAAAGTTCTAGCCCAGTCTAGTCGCTGTTCCCTCTAATTGGAATATTCAAAATCTAGTACCCCTTTATGCTTACTCCTTCTAGAAAATTCTTACCTTTCCTACCTTATCTAATAAGTTCAATATCAAAATCTCAGTTCTTTCAAGAAGGCTTTTCTGCTTTTCTATCCACTACCAAGTGTTAGTGTTCTAAGACCTATGTGCCTGCTTCCATCAAGCATACATTGCAAATATGTGGATTCTTTCTGTAGTCACGGTCAGCATCTGCACAATCAGCTCCAATTTACAGCTGAAACTTCGTCAATTTCATATCATCAGTGACTCATGTAGCTCTATGAACCAATACTGACTTAATCAAACAATAAACTAATACCTATTACGATTTCTATAAACAATTACTCTGCTGTCTTATCTTAAAAAGGAAACCTCACTATCCAATAAAAATTCTTCTCATTCCTGCCCAAGGTAGATCGTTCACTGGGTGAGTAAAAAACAATAATGCTACTTTGATTTATTTCTTTAATCTCATTGGATTTCATCTCAGAAGGAAGCTGCACTATTTACTGTGCTACTTTTCCATATTTTTAATATGTGTCAGTACTATGGTTTAAAACCAAAAGATAGATCTGCAAGGATTCAGTATTAGTGATTTACATGGGAAAGTCTCTCTACCAAGAGAGCAAAAGGGAAAAAGTGAGACAGGGCTGAATGGGCAACCCAGTTAAGTGAAGCATTATTTGAAAGTTAATTTCTTTCACAGAGATTCTTCCTATTGTTTGGAAAGTGGTACTTCTGATCACACAGGATATCTATGGGTAGGCTTTTTGGATCAAGTAACAGAAAGGAGAGTAACTGTCCATTTTTCTCCTGCCTGTCTTGGGTCAAGATGGTGCCAGGGGAAATTAACTATTTCAGTTTGGGTCATCCAGCTTCCTTGGCAGTATCTTGAGGAGCCAGATGCATCATGTGTGGCAGCACTTTCTCAAATCTTGAAGAAACAGAGGAGGCCAGAATCTGTAGAGTACAGTAGTTATTTTCAAAAGGCTACCATGTTATCTTGTGTGGACACATTTGCTGTACTGTGGGAGAAATCCCGTAGCAGTTGACATATGGAACAGGGCAAGCTGAGAAACTGAGAGGAGATATTTGAGTCTCTTACAGATATATTTCCACCTTGTATGTACAATACATTTTACTGTTTACACTCTTTTCTGTCTTCAATCTCATAGCTTTAAAACTTCAATGCAACTGGTTCAAATGTCTGAATGCGTTCTATCAGTTAATATGCTGGCAACTCAAGTATAGTAACGGATATTTAAAACATATGTAATGCTTTCCATAAAAACCTGTATCTTTGATTTTCACCATTTTTCTTCATTGAAATGTTAATATTTATAATAATTTCCCAGCAGTGAAAACATATTCTCTGGAACAAATTACATATTCAGTAAATGTGAGAATAAAACAAATGGAGAAATTGGACTTCTTTGTTTTCAGGTTGCAGGTGCATTTGTACAGCAAATGCTAACTTTGCTGATGATGAAGTAGAAGAGGACATAGAAAAACAGTAAGCCAGCTCTAGTCTTTCAGGAACCAGTCACATTTCCACTGTCTCCTGGCAGCAACGTCTCATCACAAGTCACTGTGGCTGAACCTGCAGGTAGGATAGGAAAGCCAAAAAGAAATAAAATAAGAATTTTAAAAGGACATTGATATTTAATTTGACATCACCATATTTTTTTGATAAAAGAATCTCAGACATATTTAGCTGGTAGCTTTTGACCTTTAGTTCACTATTGACATCTTATAAAATTTCTTGATTTTACTAGGTAATTTCTGATTTCTCTTACAAAACATGAGGCAAGTTTCAAAAGGAAGTAAAGTATATTTCTTCTTTTCACATATATTTTTGAATGTTCTGTGTTTATCCTAACTTATGCATACAAATATACTTACAGCTTTTACTTCTTCTCTTTACATATATTTTTAACAAAGAATTTTTGGAGTATTATGGGAAAAAGACATCCGGCATTTGTATTTTTATGAGATTCTATGTTAGGGAATTTTGAGCTATCGATATTTCCAGAGAGGTGAATGAGATCTTCACTGTATCTATTGTTAATAATGTAATAGAGTTGTATCACTTTAACTATAGTAGATAATATAAAACATGCTTTGTTAATAAAGTAGATCTCAAAATAGCAAAGACAATTCTGCACAACAAAGGCAAGTCAGGAGCATCACAGCATCTGTGTTGAAAGTGTGATACAAATCTACTGTGATAAGGTCAACATGGAATTAGCAAAAATCAAAACAAAACAAAAAAACAGACCTGAGGATCAGTGGAATGGAATAGAAGATGCGGATACAACTCCAAATACACTCCAAATATACTTAGCATTTAATTTTTGACAAAAGGACCAACTAAGTTCACTGGAAGAAAGACAATCTTTTTAATAAATTGTGCTGGAAAAACTGGCTCTGCACATACTGAAGACTAAAACTAGATTCATATCAATCACCAAGCAATAAACTAAAGTCAAAATGGATCAAAGATCTAAATATTAAAACAGGAACACCAAGTCTACTGGAAAAGAAAGTGGATAGAAATCTTGAAGACATAGGTGTAGGGCAGAGACTTAATAACTAAAACACAGACCACATGAGGAAACACTACAAAAAATAAACAAATAAGATCTCACCTCATTAAAATTGTTTTACACAGTGAAATAAATCACCAACAGAGTAAAAATGCCCACAGAGTTGGAAAATTATAGCCAGCTGTCCTTCAGACAAAAGACTTGAACTGAAAATATAATTGAAAAAAAATCAGACCCCCCAAATTCAAAGGCCCAATTCAAAAATTGGCACCTGAAATGAATGTGCACTTCTCAGTTCAAAAAGTACAAATAGCAAATAAATATATGAAATATATGCTCTACATCATTGGTAATTTGAGAGATGCAAATTAAAAGAACATCGTGATTCTGTTTTGCCCCAGGAAAGATTGCTGTCATTAAGAAATCAACCAATAGCAAATGCTCATGGGGCTGTGGCTGAAAAGAAGCCCTTTCCCACTGTTGATGGGAGTGCAGACTGGTGCAGCCACTATGGAAATCAGCATGGAGATTTCTCAAAAAAAAACAAAAACAAAAACAAAAAAAACAAAAACAAAAAAAACTAGATTAGAGATCCTGTTCCACTCCGCTGTTCCCTTTTTAAGTATCTTCCCAGAAGAATTAAAAGCATCATATCACAGGATATATGTGTATCCACGCTTATAGCAGCACAATTTTTAATAGCTAAATCTTGGGAAAAGTCCAAATGCCAATCAGCTGAAGAATGGATTTAAAAATGTTGTCTTTTTATCCAGTGAAGGACTACTCAGTCACAAAGATGGATAAATTTGAGGATTTTATAAGTAAATGGATACAATTTTAGACCACAGTCATAGGTGAAATAAATCACTTACACATGTAAACATGATATTGTCTCCCTACTTAAGAAACTGAAAGAATAAATAAGATCCAAAATGTACAATAGATATTGTGAAATGGGAAGAAATGGTTCAAAAGGAAAGAGAAACAGGAATAGGGGAAAAGAAAAACAGGGAGGGAAAAGAAAAAAAATATATATATATACTATACAAGAAAGTTAAGATAGTTATACTACTGATTTTTCTTAGTTCATTGAGAAGAAAAAATTATGCTAATATTGTCTGGTTAATTTTTCATGCCTTTTTCTTACATTCTGAGCAACTACTTAGAATATAACAATACACATTGTATTAACCATTGTTGCTTTCCTATTAACTTGTTTTGAAATTTTGTTTCACTGTTCATTTCTCTTTAAAATCATATTTTAAAAAAGAAAGGCAATTTCATGTGTTTGCAGCACATATGTGTTCAGAAGAATTTACTATATGAGATGACGGACATGTCACTTAGCTTGATTGTGGAAATAATTTCACAATTCATGCATTATAGCAGAGCCTCACTCTTCATGTCTTGCTAGATACAATTTTTCATCAATCATGTTTCTTTAAAATAAAGCTGGAAGTAATAGGCTTTTCTTTCCAACTGTCAAAATCCACTTATTAGTAACCCAGTCTGAGGGAATAGCAATTGTTTCATATTGTTATCGAATCTCCTTCATATAGAAACAAAACTGAACTCCAAGAGTGATATTTTGCCAGCAACATATCTAATGGTCTTTTCATTTTCCTGAAGGATTAGATGTAGCTAAGGAAATTTCAGTTTCCTATCTTGGATCAGCTTCAGAAATGTGCATATTAATATGCTATAAATTGACTTATCAACTAAGGAAACAAGGGATTATTTTTTGACTGTGTTTAAAAGTTTTTTTGCTTAGATTTTAAAGGTCAGGGCATTTTTGGGTCATGCTTGTTCCAAAATGTTTCTGTGTAACTTATTCATCTCCCATTAAAATCTCATTTTCTCTACCAGTAACCTTCTAGGCTTCATCCCTCAGGAAAGTTGTATTTTGTATGAATTACTTCATTCAACTATATGTTTTCAGTGAACCATCATCAAATAATCGGGATACAAACCAATTTTAGTTTCCCCAATATAAAGAGGCCTTTGATCTCTTAATTTTTTAATTTGGTAGCAAGACATTTGATTACTTATGCAAGCCTGTTAGTAAAATTAGAAGTATAAAAGCAATAAAAAATGTTGAAAAACTGCTGTTGATCATCTGATGCTGAAATTTCAGCGTGAGTCAAGTAGTCTCATCAGAGTTAAGGATAAGGATACATGCACATGAGTGGGGATTAGAGAGGGTTTCATGAAGAGGCCGTATTTTTTCTGTGGCTTGAAGAATTGCAGCATGTAGAAAAGAATGCATAGGCATGCTAAGGAAAATTGTTTTCAACACAGGAAAATTTGTTATTAAAGCCCTCTTGTATTTATCATATTTGTGTTATTGCAACTATCTAAAAGAGCTAAATTTATAGAAAGTTTTATTTAGCTCACATTTTTGGAGATTCAAATTAAACATTGGAAACTCATCTTTTTTTGGCTCCTGGTAAGGAGGGCACCACACACAGGAAGTAAGTGTAGAAGCAACTTGTACCATCTTGAGTAGGTAGATAGAGGAAGGACCCTTTCAAGACTGTTTCCAAAGACCTGAGGTACTCCCACTAAGCCCTGCCTCTCAAATATATCTACTCAACCTCCCATTAGCAAATTCCTGGGGGCGAAGTCTTCAACATATGGACTATGGAGACCCTACCATGTTCAATCATAACAGCGCTCACATTCTCACGTCCTGTAGCGAGTGATCTCAAGATGCTCTGTGGAAGTATAGCATACTGAACTGGCAGTACTGGTTGGAAGGAGCTTGAGAAATCAACTACCCGAGAATTTTGAATGTCATTATGGTGTGTCATAACGGACTGTCTTTGAACATAACGTGCTCAGATTTTCTAGCTCGATACTCATGGACTTAAATTTATAGTTCAGACTTTGAAGAAAAACTTGGCAAGCCTTTTACAGAGAATCAAATAAAGTGAAAAATACATTTCACTGGACACACTGTTTAGGAAGCAAGTTATTCTTTGTTATCAGAAAATTCTTAGAACTGTAGCACCTTGATCAGCATTCAATAAAATTTTTGCTTATATTTTCAATTTGCCTTAAGTTGTTTTAATTGTCCTACTTTATTACTTGGGTAGCTTGAACAATTAGGATACAAGACCAATTTTAGTTTCCCTAATATAAAGAGAGTCCTTTGAGCAGAATTAAATTTATACCTACATTGCCTTTCCCACTAGAATGTCACTGTCTTGAAGCCAATGTGATATCATTTTATAAAATAAAGGCATGAAGTCTTATGTAGGTGTACAGTATGTAGATGTTTCTTGACACTTCACTGACATGGCACAGATTTGAAAGTTTTAGCCTAAGGGTTCAAATTTGATAGTTATTTCTTACATGGTAGTACATATTTCCCTATGGTGCGAAGAAGTGGCTTATATGTATTTTCTTTCTGAATTAGACATATGGGAATCTACCAAATGAAACAAATATACTTATATAAACCTTGTCTAATATCTGGTTTGAGAATGAAAATGTATTTTGTATCCTTGAATCTACAATGAAATTGTAGCCTTATTCATTCAATAATGAGTAAACATCTTTTCTTTCTTAACTTTGATTTCCAGACAAAACTATAACCATTGTACTGAATTTTAGAAGTTTATTTTCACTTCAGTATGTATTATTAGAAAGAAGAAATGGCCTCACACTCTAATATTTGTCTCTTAATTTGTTTTATATTTATTAGAACATATTTGCTTTATATTGTATTAGAACATATCTTTATTAGTAAAAATCTATAGAATAAATTTTGTAATTATAAGAAATCCACATATTGTATTATACATGTTTACTTCAACACGGACACATTGCAGCTATAAAAATGCTATAATGTGACAAATAGAAATGACTCTGGGGAAGATGAGATTTAGGATTATGAGTAAAGTGAGTCATTTCTATTTGTCACATAATAGCATTTTTTATAGCTGCAGTGTGTCCATATTGAAGGTAAGTACATAAAATGTCAAATCTGTGCATTTTGTGACTGATGATATTTTATGTACATACTTATATTCATTTGCATTGACAAAGTTTT